CCGCCTTTTCAGTTTTAGAAAAAGCAAAAGAAAATGATGAAATGTCAAAAAAATAAAATAAAATAAGTTTCCCATGTGATATGTGGTCTAGTTGTTGGGAAATTTTACAAATATGAATTTCGACTTTATTTACAAAATCTCTTTGGAATTTGTAAAATGGGCATAACTTTTGCATACGAACTCGGATTAAAAAGTTTTTTATATGAAAAATCATCTACTCGACAAGTTACATCCGATGGAGACGGCCTATGGCCTGCTTGCAAATTTGTAGAATCCTCAAATTCCAAAAGGAAAAAAATTATGCTCAAATTTCAGTTTTTTTAAATTTTCATTAAATCTGGTCAAACTATGTCAAACTACTTATTCAAGAAGTATTAATGTTACTAAATAATTATTCAAGAATATTAGTGTTATTAAATAATTATTTCAGTTTTTTTGAATTTTGGTCAAATCTGGTCAAACTGTGGTCAAACTATGGTCAAACTACTTATTCAAGAAGTATTAGTGTTACCAAATAATTATTCAAGAATATTAATGTTATTAAATAATTATTTCAGTTTTTTTGAATTTTGGTCAAATCTGGTCAAACTATGGTCAAACTGTGGTCAAACAATGGTCAAACTACTTATTCAAGAAGTATTAGTGTTACTAAATAATTATTCAAGAATATTAGTGTTATTAAATAATTATTTCAGTTTTTTTGAATTTTGGTCAAATCTGGTCCAACTATGGTCAAACTGTGGTCAAACAATGGTCAAACTACTTATTCAAGAAATATTAGTGTTACGAAAAAATTATTGTTTTTTAGAACAATAGTTTCAAACTCAAATAGTGAAATGTGTGACTTCATGCTCAAGCTAAACTCCTGGGGGTTAATAGGATTGACATCTTACTATTGTCAGGAAAACAACGAGTGCAAACTTGGAAACGAGGGAGAATAGAACCCGGAACTTAAGCATGCTCAGGCTGGGAGAGTGGGAGGATGGGTGACCGTCCGGGAAGTTAGATGATTTAGAATGATGAGGGGTGATTAGAGATTAAATTGAGTAGCGATGAGGGGTGATTAGAGATTAGAGGTTAAAATAATTTAGAAATTTGAAAATAAAAAAATAAAAAAAATAAAAAAAATCAGAAAATTTTCTTTAGTACTGGTTGGTGTTACCAACCAGGACTAAAGGTGGACCAGCCACGTGGAGGGCCTTTAGTCCCGGTTCTGGTTTGAACCGGGACTAAAGGGTCGGGGCATTAGTACCGACCCTTTAGTCCCGGTTTAGGAACCGGGACTAAAGGCCCTTACGAACCGGGACAACAGGCCCTTTTTCTACCAGTGGTCTGATCTGGGGCAGCTCCTCCCGGCCCGTAAAACTTAAATTTGAAACTTAAATTGATCTAGAATAATGCATTTCTTTGCTTTTGCAACAACATTAAATACAAAAGACATCACGAAATCTTTGCTAGAATAGCAAAACCAAAGAAAATAAGAACCAGAAGTATGCATTTCAGAAGATTTCCAACTTCCATAACTACTGCCACAAGTTGGACTAATATCTTCTCCATGCTTTCATTGTTGATCTGCGGATTCTTGATTTTGCATTCTTCTTTCTTCATCTTTGATTCGAAAGAAGTAGATGTTGCTTCCCCTCTAGTTACCCATGCAGCCACATCATTGCCTTCGATTGTACTAAGGAGTGCACCAACATCTATTAAGTTTCTTTCTATCAATAAATCAATGTACTGGCCTTCCCAAAACCAAAAATGAGCATCCATCGTCCCACACAAGAAAATGAGCAAGCTCGAAGTGAGCTACCGCAATTGAACTAAAGATTGAGCTATCAAATGAGCTACCGCAAGTGCACGTACCATGTCGTTTCGCATTTGAAGAACACCCATCTGTGGTGCTTCGGCGTGCCTGAAGTGGGCCGTAGCACTTTCCGCGTGCAGTCGTCACACTGTATGAGCGGCATCGGCAAGCCACAAAGACGCCGCGCGAGCGCCGAGCCCGGTGGACGGCCGGACGAATCCATGCCCGCAAACCTTCGGCGGCGGCGGGCGGACGAACCCGTACCTGCATGCGGCGATGCGCCCTTGCCTGGGCTACGGGAGAGGCTCCCCGACCACTCCATCGCTTGGGGCAGCAACCGGCGGCCGGAAAAAGCCAAATCCAACGGCCCGCGATGAAGTGCCGCAGATCCGCAAATCAGGCAGCCCGCCGACGCAGGAGGGAAGGGAGGGGAGGCCTCGTGCGCGTGGCGGCCTTTCGACATGCTCCTGTCGGTTGCTTTCGCCGGAATCTTGGGCGGCGGCGCGAGGGGGGAGATGAGACGTGGTTGGTGGGGGAAAAGCGCGGGATGAAATGTTCCTCCACCAACTGCTTTCGCTTATATGTAGGGCACCGCAGCCGCAAGGGGGAAACCCGCGTTTTTCCGTGTTGGGGTTGGGATTTTGCCGCGCCCCTCAAAAATTTTTATGGACCAAGACGGAATGCGGGGTCTGATCGGACTGGTTTTTCCGCCCCGATCCATATTTTGGGGGTTATTTTACGGGTCGGGGCAAGATGCAGGGTCTGCTAGAGTTGCTCTTAATACTCCCTGCTTCCCAAAATATGAGGCGCGCTTTCTTTTGGCCAAGCTAGCTGCTGCTCTTGTACAACCTGCATGCCGTTGTGTGGAGATGGGAATATTTTTTGGTACATTCAGCAGCGGGACCCGATATACAAAAATTTGGAAGCACTTGATGAATGTACCAAGGAATGGAATCTGAATTTTGGGATCCTTCTCCTATTTACGGCAACACGGCAAAGCAGAGCAATGAGTAAAAGCAGAGCACATGAGGACTGCAGGAGACCACTGGTCCGTCCGTCCATCACTGCGTGCTGCGGAAATCATTACACCTGCACATGCCTTGTTTGCCATGACATTTCTCTCGGCCTGCAACAGTTGCAACTGCAATTCAGATTCCAATTGGATGTGCAATGCATCTCTTGCAGCCGGTCACTCATCTACACTGCACTGCACTGATTGGCTGTGTGATTGCACACACCATGCCATTTTTCAGTAAACTCATAAATAAATTTGAGAATGTTGGAGTCGATTAATGTAGCTCAGCTGCCTTCACATTTACAGGCAAAAGAGGGAAGAATACAATGCATAAATCATACTCCCTCCATTCCACAATGTAGTGCTTCCTCTATCCCCGTGCTTCAACTTTGACCGTAAATTTAACTACCAAGACCGATTGCGGCGGGAGCAAAAATTATATCAGTGAATTCGTATTCGAAAGAAGTTTCCAATTATATAATTTTTTCTCCCGCCGCAGTTGGTCTCTATGATTAAATTTATGGTCAAAGTTGAATCTCAGGAAGCGCGGTCGCACTATATTTTGAAAGGGAGAGAGTACCTACTAATGGCAGCAATAATCTAGTACTCAGTGCCAACCTTTGGGAGCCTGACATACGGAGTACATGGTATACTGCTGCTGCTACAGACTAGTATAAATTAAGCAGAATCATTCATTAGCCACTTAATCTGTCATCCATCACACTAATCATCAGCAAACTCTCCAATGATGGTATGGCCTAGTATCAATCAAACTAAACAATAATCCAGGTGCTTATTAGTAGTAATCAGGCAGGCACACGCACTAGTAAGCAATCATGGTCACTGGATCATCGATCAGTGGAGCGTGGCGACGTAGGCGTCGGCGAGCATCTTGCCGAGCCGGACCTGCGCCGCGGTGGTGAGGTGCGTGAAGTCGTTGGCGACGGGGAGGCCCATGGCGTCCACGTACCTGAGGTTGGGCGCCCGCACCGCCCGCTGCGCCTTCCGCACCAGATCCACGAACTTGCCCTGCCCCGTCGCGATCCCGACCTGCACCAAAACATCATGGAGTGAGCGGTGGCGCATTCATTTGGCAGATCAATGGAGTTGCACTGGCCGGAGCATCGAACCTGGATGACGAGGAGGTTTGGAATGCCGAGGTCCCGCCGGACATCCCGGATCAGAGCCTCCATCCGCCCCGTGTAGGCCAGCGCGTCCTCGCGCCGGATGGTGTCGGTCTCGCCCTGGAACCAGAGCATGGCCGCGATCCTGCCCTTGCCATTGGCCCCGGCGACGGCGGCGCGGGCGCGGGTGAGCATGCGGTCGTAGAGGTGGGAGCCGCGGGACCAGTTGGCGATGGGGGTGCCGCCCTGCGCGCAGGGGACGAGGCCCACGACGGCGCCCTTGGGGCACGCCGGGGCGCGGAGCAGCGCGTGCGCGAACGGCATGCCCGGGCCGACCCCCAGCACGTTGCCCACGTCGATGCCGGAGTGCAGCGGCTCCCGGGCCTCCTCCCAGCGCAGGGCGGGGGAGAGGCGGAGCGTGCGCGGCGAGGGGGCGCACTCCCGCGGCACCACGCCGTCCCAGCGGTTGTTGAGGGTGGCACCGCCCCGGCCGCCCATGTTGGACTGGCCCGCCAGGATGAACACCAGCGTCGGCGTCCTCCCAGCTCCGGCGCCCACGGCCGTGGCCGCGAGCAGGGCGAGCAGCAGCAGGATGGACGGCATTGCCGGCGCCGCAGCTGGTTGCATCTCACGGAGACGGAGCTAGTTGCTCGCACTCACTGGTGACGGAGTGGCAGTGATGATGGCGCCGTTGGAGAGGATATTGGTGTACGATATGGTGGTAATAAATACGGCGCGTCGGGTTTGTTGGAGGAAAAGTTATGTGGATGCGGTGCGGTGGACGTACTAGGACAACAGTGAAAAGAGTGAGTGAGTGACGGTGGTGGGCATGGCGTGCAGGTGCACCCCTTTTTGGTTTGTTGTCTGACGGTGCATGTGTTGTGCGCCTGTCACGCGCGCGTCAAATGAGCTGTCGGAATTTGGATGTTTACTCTGGTGCAGTGTTGGTGCACAAGACGCGTACGTACTGGAGCAGCAGTGAGTGTTCGAGGGAGGAAGCGAAGCAGTGAGTGTTGGAGGGAGCAGCAGTGAGTGTTGGAGGGAGGAATTCGACCTAGCGGGCGCTGATTTTGGCGCTCCAACGCGCGGGAAAGATTCGCGCGCGCGCCGCGGCCGGTGCTCCCTCCACACTCTGTCGGCCGCCCACTCTCGCCGCCTCTGTGCCATCATGTCGATCCGCCGCCTGGGCGCTTCGGATTTTTGCGGAGTCCGCGAGCCCGCTCCGGCGCCTTCTCCGCCGACAACTGGTTTCGCGAGAAACGTCTCATCCTTGCCACCTTCGACACCGCAGAGGAGGCGGCCCGCGCGCTCGACGCGGCGGCGTGGCACCTCCTGAGGCCTCGTCGGGATATGAATTTTCCCAACGTGTCGAGCCAGCGGGCGCAGGATCTGGCGCCTCTCCCGCGGCTTTTCACCGACGAGGATCGTCGTGTCCACCGGAGGCGGCAGCGTCGCCTCGCCATCGTAGGGAAGGACGTGGAAGCCTTGGTGGTGTGGCACGGAGGCTTCCCGCAGGACATCGTCGACGAGCGCCAGGTCTACAAGCAATTGAGATCGGAGAGGGACGCGAGGAGGAGGGAGCGAGCCGCCTATCGGGAGGACAAGTGTTCGCGAAAGCAGGCAGCTCAATTGAAACTGAAGCTACGAAAAACGGCGGGTTGGGACTTTGAAGACGAGGCGTATGCTGACGCCTACATTCAGACATCGGAGGAGGACATTACCGAGTCAGAGTCAGAAATCGACGAGTAGTCGTCTTTTCTTTTTATCTATGTACGCTAGAATTATCTATGTATCCATTTTTATCTGAAAAAATGGTCGGCGACGTAGTAGGCGGGCGAAGGTGTGAATCCAATATGCCACCGATCAGCGGACCCGGTGAAGAAAGAGGTCGAGCGCGCGCGTCCGTCTTTTGTCCGCGTCGATGCAAATCAGACTCAAAAATAGGTCGGGAATGGGTCGGCAGGCGGACGAAAACGGACGCGCGTCCATTTGTTCGGCGCATTTGCCCGGTTTTTTTGTCCGCGTCGACCCAAACAAACGGCCGCGGACGAAATGGATCGCCCCATTGGAGTTGCTCTAACAGTGAGGCATTGGTGATTGGGCAATCTAAACAAAAATCGAGTACTTTCATTTATTTATTTCACCTTGAAAATCAAATTTGCTCCCCAAACTTTGCCCAAACCCACTGCCTCACTAGATCTTCTTTTGAGCACCTACTCCACGTTCAATAGACGCGGAGCTCCTAGTCGGCGCCTTATGCCCTAGCCAGGAGTTCTGGCGCCCACTAGCGTATAGCAATAGGCCGGCCCATTACCTACTAGCGATGCAGCCTCTCTCCTGGCCACATTTGGTTCCTCGGTCAACTGTTGACTTCAAAAAACATAATTTTCAAAGAAAATCCTCAAAAAAATCAAAGTTAATCCTGGATTTAAAAAATGTTCATTTTTTAAAAAATATAACAAACTGCAAAAAAGTTCACAAATTTGAAAAAAAATCACAAATCTGAGAAAAGTTCACGCATTTAAGAAAAACAAAAAAGAACAAGAACAACAAAAAAGAAACTGACCATTGAACTGAGAAAAACCGGTTTTGGAAGCTTCGCAAAACCGGGGGCTTCCCGAACTGAAGAGAATAAAAGGAAAAAATAAGTTAGCGGGCACAAACGGTCGAGATGTCCTACAGTAGTTACCGCGGTATACTCTAAACAAAGAGGTCTCGTGTTTGAATCCGTCGCGAGCACCCTTTTTATGAAGTTTAACAGAAACGAAGAAACGTAAATGGACAAGCCCAACATCGAGGGAGCGGGGGTGCGCCCTGTACCATTATGCCTATTACGGGCCGCCTCCCTAGAGCACACACTAATCGTTGTTGTGTCTAATAGAGATACTGCACGAACATTGGAAGCATTCCAGCCTATTTCACTGCAGAATTGCCCAGTTATATCAATTGGAAAAAAAATATCAATTGAAAAATCTCTCACAAACAAAAACCCTACATAGGCATGAGGCCCACCATGGCGTCCTTGGGGCATGCGGAGCAGCGTAAGTGTGAACAGTAGCTTAATGGAATCCCGAGCAAAGTGTTCAATGGAATCCAACTCGTGGAAAAGGTTTGGCTTGTGCAGTTAAACGCAAAGAGCTTAATGGAATCTAGCTCTTGAAAAAGGTTTGGTAGAGTTACTCCATGAGTACAACAATTCTTATCCTGTAGGTCAAAATGGTTGGTTGAGTGAGGCTTGGACTAGGATGGCAAAAATATTCCATACAAAAGTTCACAAAGATTCAAGTTTAAGAAAAGCAGAAAGAGATGAAGAGAGAGTAAATGCTTCTCAAGAAAACCCGGAAACAAATTGGTGCTAGTTTTAACTTCCACACATAGCTGATTGAAGCCGACTCATTTCTTCGGAACAATATGATCACCATAACTTCTATTTTACCTAATTTCATCTTTCCAACTTGTAATTTGCATTCCAAGTTTACCATAATGCATGTTCACCATAAGTTATATTCAATGTTATCATAATGCATGTTCGAGTATTCATTTTCTTATATCATCCTCATGACTAAAAAATAGTATTCATTTTTTTATATTCATCCTCATGACTAAAAATTAGGAATTTTTTAACCATACTGTTTTCTCCATTTGTTTTGATAAGTTACCTTTTGATAATAAGTTCAACGATAATGTATCGTTGCCAAAATGTATATTAATTATTTGTTAATTTAAGTAAATTTTGCAGATCAGTTGGACATCTGAGCAGCTCTCGGTAAAAAAGACAAATTCAGGGTCTATAAAAAAGTTTAATGTTCATGCACTGTTTTAATCCGATTTGTCTTTTGTGGTGGGTGCTACTCAGATGTTCAAATGACCTGAAAATTGGAACGAATCTCATGCAATAAATCTTCTACCATGCAAAATTATTTTGGATTTTTAATTTATTTTGAATTTTTTATGTTTTTTTAACTAGATGCAGATAAGTCTGGGCACTGAAACGCTGCACTCACAAAGTTCATAAAATTTGAGGTAAATGTCTTTTTTAAAAAGTTGTTTTCAAGAGGGAACAATGTCCATGTGCTTGGATCTTGATCGGAGCCCGGAGCTGCATCGATCAGCACGCCTGAATTAAATAGCAGCAGTATCCCACTCCGGTTGACTCCGGTCCGAAAGCGGGTCCACCAACCAGCGACACCGACCGCACCGCTTATTCAAACCCCTCCGTCCGCTTCCCCACTCCGCCCGAAGGAACGTTGCCCCCGACCGACCGCAGTCCGCGACCAAGATGCTCCCTTTCCTCTGCCTCCTCGCCGCCTCCGCCGCCGCGCTGCGGCACCACCACGCGGCCGCCGACGTGCCCCCGTCCAACAAGCTCATCTTCATCCTCGCCGGCCAGTCCAACATGGCCGGCCGCGGCGGGGTGACCGGCACGCACTGGGACGGCGTGGTGCCGCCGGACTGCGCGCCCTCGGCCTCCGTCCTCCGCCTCTCCCCCTCGCTGCGCTGGGAGCAGGCCAGGGAGCCGCTGCACCAGGGCATCGACGGCAACCGCACCTGCGGGGTCGGCCCCGGGATGTCCTTCGCCAACGCCGTGCTCCGCTCCGGCGGCGCGCGCGGCGCCGCCGTCGCCCTCGTGCCCTGCGCCGTCGGCGGCACGCGGATGGCCGAGTGGGGGAAAGGGTCGGAGCTGTACGCGGACATGGTGCGGCGCGCCCGGGTCGCCGTGGAGACCGGGGGGCGGATCGGGGCCGTGCTGTGGTACCAGGGCGAGAGCGACACCGTGCGCTGGGCCGACGCCAGCGAGTACGCGCGCCGGATGGGCGCCCTCGTCCGCGACCTCCGCCAGGACCTCGCCATGCCCCACCTCCTGCTCATCCAGGTCCGTCCACCGCCATCTCGATCCATTATGTTGCTTCATTCATTCTTCTTGATTTACTCATTTAATATTCTAGATCTGTATCATCTGCATGATCTGGAGGTCGAATGGTTCGTTGTGTCAGTGGAGGGACTGTAAAGCTAGCAGCTTTACTTGTCACTTGGGCATGGTTGGTGGTGATCTTCCTTTCCATGAGAAGCAAAGAACATTCCACTCCTTTTTTTGTTAGTGGGCGTACACGTAGAGCAGAGTTGGTAGTAGTCGTTGGCCTAACATTCATTTGCGTAGACAGAGGACATAGTACAGCTGAAGCCACACTATATGTGCACCTGGTCCTAGCGAAGAGACTGGAGTAGTAATACGCCATGGGTACTAGCTACTGGGCATGTTTGTCAAAGAATTAGACAAACCTAGTGAAGTCCTGTTTTGGTTGCAGCTGCATCTCCCAAATTGGGTACCCGAGGTTAGCCGAGTATCTCAAATGCAGAGCAGCAACGTTTATACATGGAACCATCTAAATTTGGAGCATCATCTATTGTCTCCACTCCAGCAATTAGATGTAGATGCATACAGAAAATACTAGCTTTGGGCAGCAGTGGTGTCTATGCGCTCATTTCTCATAGATTTTATCGATCTTTTGACGATTCAGGTTGGGCTGGCATCAGGGCTTGGGCAGTACACCGAAGTCGTAAGGGAAGCTCAGAAGGGCTTAAAACTTCGGAACGTGAGGTTTGTCGACGCGATGGGGTTGCCGTTCCAAGACGGCCATCTGCATCTGAACACCCAGGCTCAGGTCCAGCTGGGACATATGCTGGCTCAGTCCTATTTAACTTATGGTACATTCAAACACTAGTTCTCCCTGTACCTCCAAAGAGATCCATTATTTTTTTGTTCTCTACTTTAGTTAATTTCCTCTCTGAACTCTTGGTTGAGCACATTGGATTGGGTATAAACATGCCAATGTAATTCAGTACAAGTTCTCCATGATCAATGAGTACGGAGAACCTCCGGAATCTTGCAGCTTCATAATGGAAGCTGCTCCCTTTTTGCCTATTACGTTTGAGAATCATAGCAATTCTAGTGATTGTGCATTGTAAGCATAAGAAGAAAAATCATCTAGCACACAGAGTGGTACTGAATTTGAGATAATGCATCGATAAAATTCAGTAGACCATGAATAATGATGTCCAGTGCATACTTAAAACCAATCAAACCATCAGAACAAATAACGTGTGACTGAATCTGTTACAAAACTTGGAAGCTTTTTTAGTATTATTTGGATTTATTGAGCTCGTGTTTCATTGAGAGGCATTCTTTAGAGCTGTGTAGAAAAATACAGAATAAGCTTTGGCATAGTAACGTTCCCAATACTGGTACCAAACAATGCAAATTCCAGCCCTATATACTCAATTTGCAATGGCTGTGCAATGCTGAGATGTTGACCAACTATGCAACCGACCCGAGTACTATCAACGTCTGTAATGTGATGACCAGGCAGGTGTAAGTGTTACAATTGAGGTTTGAGGAGTGCCTGGTGATACTGGTAATGCTTCTCACCTTGATCATCCAAGTGTGGATTCAGAAAACACAAGGTGTGGACTCATCTATTGGAGATGAAGTGACCTCATTCATTGATAAAACACATGACATTGGCATGATGGCGACTCTTAGTTATACTGGTGTTTTAATTTGATAGCGACTTACGAAGATTATAATTCTCTAGTCAGTTCAAATAGCATCATATTTATTCCTCTCTTGTTTCCCTTTTTCTGGGGTGCTAGGGCATGCACATCCTCTTCGAACACCCACACCATGGTGGCTGCAACTTACTACCTTGGCTTGTTGCTTCATTGTTCTTTGGAGGGAGCCATACACATCTGTGCTTATATAATCAAACAAACAGAGGAGGTTGAAGAAGAAAGCTACTGGGCTCTGCACATAACCATATACCAATACATAGGCAATGCGATGCCGATACATAGAAGATTCATTCTTTCAGGTGTATATATACACACACATTCAGAAGAAAAGAAACACTCATAGAGATCATATATACAGTAGAAGATTTTACGACACATTTTGGTTTCTCCTCTGGTAAACCTGGCTAACTCTAGTGTATGTATGCAAGCAAAGTCAGCATAGATGGAAAAATGATCTGATTTATTGAGCTTGTGTATTTTCTGGTAATCTTAGTCATTGATAAGAACACTTGAGGACGTACATGCTCATGACAACAATTCTTAGTTATAGTACCAGTATCTGATTTGATGGGGAAATAAGTCAAAATAAGAGTGAGTATGATAGTATAAATTATTTTTCTGGTCAGTTCAAATAGAAGCATGTTTGCTCCTCTCCGGTACCATAAACCCATCATATACCTTCCTCAAAACAGCCATCATACCTACCTATCATGACATTTCCATAGTCATTCTGAGATATATTGTCATGCAACTTCCATCATCATCATATACATGACTTGAGCATTCATTGTCATATTGCTTTGCATGATCGTAAGATAGCTAGCATGATGTTTTCATGGCTTGTCCGTTTTTTGATGTCACTGCTACGCTAGATCATTGCACATCCCGGTACACCGCCGGAGGCATTCATATAGAGTCATATCTTTGTTCTAGTATCGAGTTGTAAGTAAATAAAAGTGTGATGATCATCATTATTAGAGCATTGCCTCAGTGAGAAAAGGATGATGGAGACTATGATTACCCCACAAGTCGGGATGAGACTCCGAACTTTAAAAATAAATAAAAGAGGCCAAAGAAACCCAAATAAAAAAAAGAGGCCAAAGAAGCCCACCAAAAAAACACAACAACAAAAACAACAAAATGAGAGAAAAAGAGAGAAGAGGCAATGTTACTATCCTTTTACCATACTTGTGCTTCAGAGTAGCACCATGTTCTTCATATAAAGAGACTCTTGAGTTATCACTTTCATATACTAGTGAGAATTTTCATTATAGAACTTGGCTTGTATATTTCGATGATGGGCTTCCTCAAACGCCCGAGGTCTTCATGAGCAAGCAAATTGGATGCACACCCACTTAGTTTTCAGTCTGAGCTTTCATACACTTATAGCTCTTAGTGCATCCGTTGCATGGCAATCCCTACCCACTCACATTGATATCTATTGATGGGCATCTCCATAGCCCGTTGATACGCCTAGTTGATGTGAGATTATCTTCTCCTTTTTGTCTTTTCCACAACCACCATTCTATTCCACCTATAGTGCTATGTTCATGGCTCACGCTCATGTATTGCGTGAAAGTTGAAAAGATTTGGGAACGTCAAAAGTATGAAACAATTGCTTGGCTTGTCATCGGGGTTGTGCATGATGTGAGTATTTTGTGTGGTGAAGATGGAGCATAGCCAGACTATATGATTTTATAGGGATAACTTTCTTTGGCCATGTTATTTTGAAAAGACATGATTGCTTTATTAGTAGGCTTGAAGTATTATTGTTTTTATGTCAAATGATAGACTATTGCTTTGAATCACTCGTATTTTAATATTCATGCCATGATTAGATATGTGATTAAGATTATGCTAGGTAGCATTCCACATCAAAAATTATCTTTTTTATCATTTACCTACTCGAGGACGAGCAGGAATTAAGCTTGGGGATCCTGATACGTCTCCGTCGTATCTATAATTTTGATTGTTTCATGCCAATATTCTACAACTTTCATATAATTTTGGCAACCTTTTATACTATTTTTGGGGACTAACATATTTATCCAGTGCCCAGTGCCAGTTCCTGTTTGTTGCATGTTTTATGTTTCGCAGAAACCTCATATCAAATGGAATTCAAACGGGATAAAAACGGACGGAGAATATTTTTGGAGTATTTGGAGAATATGGGAAGAAAATCAACGTGAGATGGTGCCCGAGGGAGGCACGAGGCAGGGGGGGCGCGCCCCTGACCCTCGTGGGCCCCTCGTAAGGTGGTTGTTGCTATTCTTTTGCCGCAAGAAAGCTATTTTTCAGAAAAAAATCTCGGCGGAGGTTTCAGTCCAATCAAAGTTACAGATCTCCATATATATATATACGAAACGGAGAAAGGGCAATCAGGGGAACGCAGAAATAGAGAGAGACAGAGAGACAAATCCTATCTCGGAGGGGCTCTCGCCCCTCCCACACCATAGAGACCAAGGACCAGAGGGGAAACCCTTCTCCCATCTAGGGAGGAGGGCAAGGAAGAAGAAGGAGGGGGGGCTCTCTCCCCCTCGCTTCCCGTGGCGCCGGAGTAACACCAGGGGCCATCATCATCACCGCAATCTTCACCAACAACTTCACCGCCATCATCACCAACTCTTCCCCCTCTATGCAGCGGTGTAAACCATCTTTTACCCGCTGTAATCTCTACTTAAACATGGTGCCCAACGCTATATATTATTTCCCAATGATGTATGGCTATCCTATGATGTTTGAGTAGATTCGTTTTGTCCTATGGGTTAATTGATGATCGTGATTGGTTTGAGTTGCATGTTTTATTACTGGTGCTGTCTTATGGTGCTCTCCATGTCGTGCAAGCGTGATAGATTCCCGTTGTAGGGTTTGCAATATGTTCAGGATTTGCTTATGGTGGGTGGCGTGAGTGACAGAAGCACTGACTCGAGTAAGTAGGTTGTTTGCATATGGAATAAAGAGGACTTGATACTTTAATGCTATGGTTGGGTTTTACCTTAATGATCTTTAGTAGTTGCGGATGCTTGCTAGAGTTCCAATCATAAGTGCATATGATCCAAGAAGAGAAAGTATGTTAGCTTATGCCTCTCCCTCAAATAAAATTGCAATAATGATTACCGGTCTAGTTATCAATTGCCTAGGGACAAATAACTTTCTCATAACGAAAAGCTCTTTACTAAAACTAACTTAGTTGTGTCTTTATTTAAACAGCCCCTACTTTTTATTTACATGCTCTTTATTATCTTACAAACCTATCCAAAAACACCTACATAATATACTTCTATTTTCATACTTGTTCTAGATAAAGCGAACGTTAAGCGTGTGTAGAGTTGTATCGGTGGTTGATAGAACTTGAGGGAATATTTGTTCTACCTTTAGCTCCTTGTTGGGTTCGACACTCTTACTTATCGAAAGAGGCTACAATTGATTTCCTATACTTGTGGGTTATCAATCACCAGGGTCATCGCGGCTGATCTTATAGCGCAATGCACCGCATACCAGGCACGCGTTCAAATCCTCGTACTCACCGCGGTAGAGGATGCAGTCATTAGGGCATGCATGTATCTTTTGCACCTCTAACCCTAGAGGGCAGACACCCTTCTTTGCTTCGTACGTACTCTCGGGCAATTCGTTGTCCTTTGGAAGCATATTTTTTATCATTACCGGCAACTTTCCAAATCCCTTGTCAGACACACCATTCTCTGTCTTCCATTGCAGCAATTCCAGTGTGGTGCCCAACTTTTTCTTATCAGCTTCACAATTCGGGTACAATAATTTCTTGTGATCCTCTAACATGCACTGCAACATCTTCTTCCCCTTTTCACTTGCGCATTGCATCGGCAATGGCCCGACCTAGATCATCAGCGGTCTCATCTGATGCCTCTTCTTCAGCTTCTTCCCGCATTGCCGGCTCAGATTCTTCCCCCATTGCCAGCTCAACTTTTCCCCCCATTATTGTATCATTGTATTCAGGGAACCCATGGCCAGGATAGTTGTCGTCGTCCTCTTCTTCTTCATTGTCTTCCATCATAACCCCTCTTTCTTCGTGCTTGGTCCAAACATTATAGTGGGGCATGAAACCGGACTCAAACAGGTGGATGTGAATGGTTCTTGAGGTAGAGTAATTGTGATCATTTTTACAGCCAGCACATGGACAAGGCATAAAACCATCTGCTCGCTTGTTTGCCTCAGCCGCAAGCAGAAAAGTATGCACGCCATTAATGAACTCGGGAGAGCATTGGTCATCGTACATCCATTGTTGGCTCATTCATTACACAACACCGAAAAGATCAAATTAATACAAGTTCATACATATAAAGTTCATACATAAAGTTCATACAACACTTAAATGCAACAAACAAATAACTCTTCAGCTAAATCATTTAAATGCAACAACAAATGCGATCAAGATCGCAACTAAGATAACAATTGGTCCAACAGCATAATGATACCAAGCCTCACTATCAATGGCATATTTTCTAATCTTTCTAATCTTCAAGCGCATTTTCTCCATCTTGATCTTGTGATCATCGACGACATCGGCAACATGCAACTCCCATTCCATCTTCTCCCCCTCAATTATTTTCAATTTTTCTTTCAAATACTCGTTTTCTCTTTCAACTAAATTTAACCTCTCGACAATAGGGTCGGTTGGAATTTCCGGTTCACATACCTCCTAGATAAAAATATCTATGTCAACTTGATGCACATAATTTGTCATAAATACAAAATGCAACAAATAGTTGTAAGAAAAGATAATATACCACATCCGAATCATAACACGGATGAGGGCTGATGGGGACGGATATCAAAACCATGGCACTATGTATAACAAACAACATATGGGTAAGATAATTATACGAGTAACTATATATCTAAATCACACAAACATGAATTTTTTATATAAAAAAGATAAGAATAAGAGGCTCACCACAAGGTGGTTCCGGCGACGGGACGGTGCGGGAGATCGACGGTGGTTACGACGGAGATTGAGAAGGCACTAAGTAAACCACACCTACATATGCAAACTAAGTGTTATTTTGACCTCAAATTGCATATAAATCAAAAACTACCACATATCATTCCTTTCAAATTACTAAAACCCACAAATTAATCACTATATAAACCATTGCGAGAGCTAATCTAGCAATGAGAGATGAAAGGACAAAGTTGCTAACCTTTGTGATCATTT